AAGATACTATGATTTTCTTTGTGGTACATTCATTTTTAGTAGTTTTTTGGTTGGTTTTTTTTGTTTTCTGGGGGTCTTTTTGTTTGTTTGGTTTGGGTTTGTTTTTTTTTTTTCAATTCAAGAAAACTTATTATAATGCCCGCAGAAAATTACTTATTCTGTAAAAGATCAGAAAAACGTATAAGATTATATAGCATTTCTAATTATAAGGAAATAATATTTGTGGTTTTTTATTTCTTTCTTGGGATGATGAATACATTTGGGAAGTAAAAGCAAGAAGAATATATAGCCTCTTTTTCTCACTTTGCCTTCCTCTTTCTATTGAAAGAGTTTGTGAGTTTGTGTCCTCCCCTCTAAATAGCTGCACAGTTATCACATTAAATGTCTTGGTTCATCTGTGGATTTCAGTGTGAAAGACTTTCTATTTGGATTTGGGCAGTGTCCCTTGATGCAGGAGAGAGGCATATATCTGTATGTACATCTGCATATGCTATACATGATAGAAAACATAATATGCCTTAAGACAGCTGATGCCTGGCCTAGAGGAGTCTTCCTACAGCTATTTGAACAACAATGCAATAACATCCTTTGATAGGAGCTCCTGGAAAAAATCTCTCCAAAAAATCTATCCCCTGTGCTTCAGTGAAACAATGAGACTGCGGAGTTTTGGTGGACTCCAAAGGTCTTTAAACTGCTCTTTTTTCTGAGCCCCTTTCCATTGACTGGATGAATTTTTAATGATGCTGAAAGAGCAAGACAGTGGACTTTGAAGACATATCTGAATGTGACTGAAGATGATGTTTCTACTTAAGACTCAGAGCTTCGTAAACAGAACTTCAGAGCTCATTTAAACTCTTCAAAGTATTGTGTATTTTACATTTTTCTTTTTCCTATTAGTAGAAGAAAGGAAATGCCAGTAAGCTCTGTACCGTGTTAGTATTTTAGGATTATGGAGATGCAGGCAGACCAGAGCAATTTCTGATTTATGCTGCTTTGTGTTCATCCTTTACTGCTCATTTCCCAGCAGCCACAGCACAAAAGCTGGCTAAGCCAGAGCTGGAAATGGAAATGTCAGAAGATGTGCTCTGTGCTTCTGGAAGATGTTTTAGTCAGAGCAGCTCAGCACTGACAGGTCCAGCCACTTCACATGTCTCCAGTGTCAGGAAGGAGACAAGACAGCAAACCACACAAATCCAGAATTGAGACTTCTGCATTTTGGCTTCATCCTCTTCTTTCTGCTGGCTGACAAAAACTCTGTGATTTTTTATTCCAGCTATAGGCATTCAGGGATGAATGTCTGGAAGCATGTACTAAATGGACTGGCAACCCCTTATCTTAAGGAAGATACACAAATCTGATTTGTTTCTTCCTTCCTGCAAACCCTTCCTTGCCCTCTTGGCAGGGCACAGAGGAAAGCTAGTCATGCTCTTGCTGCTGCCTTTCGACTTGGTGGAGATCAGAACTTAAGAATCTATGAGTTTGTGGAGAAAAAAATAACTGTCTAAAGGACTGGCCTCTAAACTGCTGAAGTTTTGTAATCAAATCAACTGGCTGGTCTTGAAATCTTGGATGTAGAGCTTAGGGAGGTGTTATATATGTCCTTTGGGATCACTGATGGAACAATTAAAATACGTTTCTGACACCTCTCCTATAAGGAAAGGCTGAGACAGTTGAGATTGTTCAGCCTGGAGAACAGAAGGCCCCAGGAGACCATCTGTCAACCTTCCAGTATCTAAAGGAAAAGCTGGAGAGGGACTTTTTACAAGGTCATGGAATGACAGGACAAGGGATTTCATCTTTAAATTGAAAGACAGTCAATTCAGATTAGAAATTAGGAAGAAATCTTTTTACAATGAAGGTGGTGAACAACTGGAACAGGTTGCCCAGAGAAGCTATGGATGCCCCATCCCTGGAAGTGTTCAAGGCCAAGTTGGATGGGGCTCTGAGCAACCTGGTCTAGTGTAAGGTATCTGTGCCAATGGCAGGCTGGGTGGAAGGAGATGATCTTTAAGGTCTCTGCCAACCCAAACCATTCTATGATTCTAATTTATCTAAAAAAAAAACCCCAAAAACTAAAATATATATATAATATTAAAAAAAAAACCCCAAAAATAAAAAAACCCGTATAATTTCTTTTATAAGCATTTTCCAAGCAAAAATCTCTAAGCACATAGCTGTTGTTATTTTTGCTAAGCCGCATAATTTAATATTTCACTCTTAAGTTAATATGCTAGAAAAATATTTACTTGGAGACATGATCCATGCTGACTAATGGGATCAAACTAATTCAGACCAAAGCTGAATAAATATGTAAATTTTATATTGTATGAGTTTTGACTTCCATTAGGTTTTTTGTTTGTTTATTTTTTTTTTTTAATGGTAGAGTATCATGTGTGGAATTAAGAGCAGATAGAAATCAGGGTAAGGCAGAAGTGAATCTGACCTGAGCTGACCCATCTGGCTAGCACTAGTCTCACTACCTAGCAGCCTGAAAAACGTTGCAGTGGATCACACTGGTTGAGTATTCCTTTGTAGCCAATTAAATGAGACGTTGTCAATTGTCAGGGCTTTGAATCTCTGGTGTTAATCAGTGTTTTAATACCTACTCAAAAGCCAGTTGAGTGTAAATCACAAACCGTACAAGAAAGTCTGCTTCATGAAGGATTTTGATTATTTGTTTTGACTAAAATTGAAAATGAAAGAATAGCAACATTTTTATCCACTAAGATGCCAGCCTGATCTCTTAGCTGTTACATACTGATGAAAAAAATCAAAGGTCACCTTTCCTGAGCAATCGACTGTCCAGATCTGCAGATTCTGGAGGGGCTCACAACTGCCAGCCTGCCACAGCCTGAACAGTGAGCTGGTCACAGCCCTTGGAGGTGATTTTTTTCCCCTTGGTAGCCCAAGGCAGTGTCCTAGAGGTTGTGTTTTAAGGTCAGATGGAACACTGGCCTCCTCAGCAGCACCATGATGAGCCATTAAGGAACCATTCAAAGAAGCAGCCTGGGACTGGACAGTGGCCAGGGCACTCACTCCTGGCTCCTCAGCAAACCTGCCTCCAAGTGAGGCTCCACCAAATATTTCAACTCCAACCAATCAGCAGATTAGAATGAGAAGTGGCCTTTATTATGGTATTTTGAGTTAATCCTAGCAACAAGGTTTTGGTCTGGAAGATTTGGAAATGTTGAGGTTTCTTTTTCTTTGCTGACTAAAAAGAAAGCTTCGTATTTTTGCCTTGAAAACATTAAGGAAAATTCCTGCTTTAAAATGAGATGGGTATAAAGTGTGTGTGCAGACTGTGGGGACATCTACTGGGATGCTGGGAAATGACAGACTGCAAAATACATATGGTGGTGGAATGATTCAGGCATGAACATGCCAAAAATTATTAATACTGTGGCATTCCCTCAGGGCTGACAATTCCACACTTTATCCACAGAGGAAATCAGTATCCCTATCTCAGTGTTTCAGTGCTGATCACTCTAGGAGAACACTTAAGACCTGCATAAGCCCATCCAGACATAAAAATGTGTATAAAAGAGAGATCTGTGGAAATGCTCTGTAATCATGGGTGAGCCAAAAGAAGCTGGCATGCTGTGGGGCAGAGCAGCTCAGTCAGCCCTGACCACATGACAGTTTCCTGTGGCACCCTTGGCATGGGAGCACTTTCCTTGCAGATGGAAATGAGGAACAGCCTCTTCTTCTGCCCAGCAGCTGTGGCCATGGCTGAGCCAGGACCAGCAGAGGAGCTTCAGTGATGGCACTGGCACGGCCACGTGCTGCCACACTGCACAGTGGGCTCTGAAATGAAGCATCAGCTTTCTCAGTTTTGATACAAAAACTAATCATGGCTTATGTCTGATGGTGTATGCCTAAATTGAGCCAAAAGTTTCAAGTTTGTAGAACTTTGGTAGAATTGGGGAATGAATTCTGTTTCAATACTTCAATGTAGCCTTAATAATCTTGCTAAAATTAAGGAAACTTTTATCAGTTGTAAAAGGTGTGGATGGGGAAACAATACATGTCTGCTTTGGCTATTTGGTCAAAATTACATTCAGCATTCAATTTTCCTTGTGTACTTCCCTATATAGCTGTTTAATCTGCATATTTCTCTCTGAAATTGTAAGATGTTTGAAGGGCTGGAACCATCTTCTAGATCTGTGTTTGAAAAGCATCTGCATTTTCTGCAGCCTGAGACTAAAACGAGGGGTGGAGGTGTGCTCATTTTAAACTCTTCTGCTGAAATTTTCAGATGTCTGTGTACAGACAAAGCTCTGCATGTTTAGACAACTAACAGAATTTTCACAAGCTCTGGCCCATTCTCACCCCTCACTCCCTGTTACACTGAGCTCACTTTGCAGCCCAAGTCAGTGCCAGTGATACTCTATAGCCCCTTCTGCATCTATCATATTCCCTTTGGAAACCTTGTTGGGCATCAGTGGGTGGAAATTGCCAGTAGAGATCAGGGTGGAAGTTTTTTCACAGCTGAGTCAATTTTGTTAATGCAGAAACGGTGCACCAGACATCTGGTTAGAATCATTTTTATTCCATACTTAATAAAAAATGACTTAAATATGAAAAATGTGAAGAAAAATGTGAAGAAAAATGTAGGCTCCACTATAGACTAAATACCCACACCTGTAGTCTCCACACTTTCAGACAAGAGCAAAGCTGAAAAAGCTAGGAGAAACTATTTTTATTTTGCTAAATTACAAATCTCATACAATTGCTCAAATAGATGTTAATACCATGGTGTTCCACAGCTATTTTCGATTTAAAGTACAATTACTGAATTTATTAACTGCTTAGACAAACAGATTAGTCTTAAATTATCCTAAGCATGTTAGCTGTGCACAGTGTAACTTTGTCTGATATGATAGATGCAAAAGTAGAAATGCAAATAGAATGTGTTAAACCAGATACTTTGTAAACTGATTATCCCAGGACATTAGGTTCCATTAAACTTAAATATATTTTTCTTGTTGTTCTGTACTCAGGGGCGTGCCTCATTAACACATGAGAAGCAGCGTTTTGCCCATGAACATCGTGAAATGAAAAATCTAGAAGATATTGTTAGAGATATAAAACCGTCCGTGCTAATAGGTAATTTCTTTGACTTTAAAGCAATGACCTTATTCTCTGTTGAAAAAAAAATGGGGATGTGGCTTTGTCTGAAGAGAAGATCAAGTTCCACTGAATAGAGTTTACCTTTGTGTGTTTTCAGAAAACATGGGGTGCATAATGGACTCTATTAAGCAACTGAACAAATAGTAGCTATCCAAGCATGTAACACTGCTTTCATTCTGAGCCATCCATTTTACTGGGGAAAGAATCTGACTGGGTTTAAATATCTGAGGGAGGACCTTACTGCCTTCCTAAACACTTCTGGTGTAATGTGGAAGGTGCAATACAAATAACCTCAAACTTTGAGTGGGAAAATTGAGCTAAGCTCATGTAAAGCTATGCAAATATGAGGATGCTGTATCTGAGTCTTCCTTTTGCCCAAATTTAGCCAGCAGTCCTTTATGCAGACCAAAATGCTGATTTTTACAAAGACTGTTTCTTTTGTAAAAGCTGAAGGATTGTGATCTCAATAATGGATTGCTCAGCTCTCTATAGTCCAGTTATTGTATTTCAGTGACAGTTTCAGGAATGAACTGCAAGTACTCTTGGTCTTTTTTTAAATAAGTAAGACTTGAAGATTAATCTATCTGGCTAGTAACGTCATTCATCAGGTGCTAGAAAACTGAAATGCCACAGTGGTAATTATCCTACATTTTACCAGCTACATTTTTGACTATGCCCACACCACATGGTCCTTGTTCAGTAAAATGCACTTTTGCCAGTGGTCATCAGTGAGGTAAATAAAAATGTTTCTTTTCCTGTGGTACATGAAGATATGACTGGAAGAGGAGAGCAAGTGGTCCAGAGAATTTACTTAGTATACTACAAGGCTGAAAAAGCTAGAGGGATGGAAGAGTAGAATGAATGAATATTTATCCAGATAAAGGTGTGTGGATGCTTAGGGAAAATTTGCTTTCATGAAATATGGGCTTTACTGTGTATCATTTTTATGTATAAACCTAAGTGACTCTCCCTCAAGGCCACTTTCTCTTAGCAATTCTGTATAATGAAGTGTCTTCCATCAGAAACAGCAATAGAAACTAATACTGGAGGTTGGACTTGGCATCTCAAAAATCATCACACACCCTCCTCTTTGGTCGTGAATGGTCTGAGGTCCAAGATCTAAGTACTGGCTGCAAGTCTGCAATACAGCAGAGTGCAACCTCAGTTAGATGATTTCATCCTGCAAGAGTGGCATTCAGTTCCTGTGAATAGCATTTGTAAGTGTGGACAGTATAGGGAATAGAAAAGCATCTCTGGTGCAATGAAAAGGGATGTATTAAAAAAAAAAAAAGTTGCTATCAGGGAAGGCCTAGACTCAAGATTATTATTTGTCAGCTCAGCTCTTATGTAGAAGGCAGAGATTTTACTCATGCTGTCAGAAAAAATCGCAGTCTGACACACTGGATTTGGGAGAAACTATCCAGTCTGTTGCACAAAATTTTAGGACCCAGAGCTGCATCTATCTAGTCCATACTGGACCTAGCTGCAGGCTAGGTGATAACATTTTATCTTACACAAAGGGTCTGAGAAAAGGTTAAGGAGAAATTCACCAGATCATCCAGGAGTGAATAGGTTCTGCCTTATGCTAGGGATAATACTGAAGTTTCACTCTTGCAAAATCTTTTATACAAAACTTTGTTTCAACTACATGTTAGGAAAAAGGTTGAACTCCATTTTAAAGAGAGAGAGAGACAGAAAAAGGAGCTCTGTTCTTTTACAAGTGATATGCATGTCCTACCTTGAAGTAATTTAATTTGTCTGCTTATTATATGTGTGTTTTTCTCCTTTAGGAGTTGCTGCAATTGGTGGTGCTTTTACTACACAAATTCTTCAGGATATGGCTGCTCTAAACAAACGTCCTATCATTTTTGCTCTCAGCAATCCCACTAGCAAAGCAGAATGCACTGCTGAGCAGTGCTACAAATACACAGAGGTAACCAAAGATTAATTTCTTTCCAGTATAAGTCATGAAAAATAAATATGAAATTAAATTTTAGAAGGGAGAACAGAGGGTGGAGTAGCAGGTACTAATGATGTCTTTGTACATAGATAAAATGAGTTAAACTGAGTAACAGTTTTATCAAGACAATTTCACAAAATTCACTGCATACTTGCACTCTCATAAAAACATTTCACAGCTTTTATTGGCATAGGCAACATTCATAATCTTTATTGTAACCAAAGTATCAGTCACCATCAATCATTAAAGCATTGTCTCTTTTTGAACTGTACCATTTTGTGTAATATATACACACAGTGGCATGCTTTTAATTTGAGATTTCATAAATACTCTTTAGGGTAAGAATATATTTGAATACATGAAACAGAATCTTTAAAATCATTCTGTATTAAGAACTGGGGTAATTGACTCTTCTTACAAAGTTTTATGTTACATAAACATGGGTAAAAATTAAGAGAACTGTGCTTGCTCATTTATTAAAGAAGTACTGATAAAGACATTATCCTGTAATTCAGCCTAGAATTTAAAATGTATGTATACCTGACTGTATGTGTTTCATAGTGGATGTCTTTGGATTTCTTGTCAAATACAGGGCATTCTGAATGACAGTTTCTCAGTGTTTAAAAGACAAATTTAGCATGTCCATTCTCCACAGCACAGATATAATTACAGCACAGTGCAGGAGCCAGGGAAGCAACCTACATGATGGGCTGCTTATAGTGGGTAACCACATTTGGTAAACAGAGCAAAAGACACTCTGAAGTATTTGATCTGTCACCAAAACATATCATAAGCAGGCCAGGATTATAGTGCATGACTCCAAACAAAACAGAATATTCTTCTGAAGAGCTGAATAGCAACAGTGGCCTATTTTAAAATGCCCTGTAATGCATTTCAGGTTCCAGTTCTCTAAAACAGGCAGAGATATTTCTGATACAAAGTGTCTCTGAAGTATTTAACAGTGATATTTATCACTTTAGCAGGGTTAGCATAAATGAAGGCTGGCTTTTCTTCCTCACCTAAATTCACTGCTGAAATTTGAGGTTGCTCCCTCCCCAGAGAGGCAGGAGCCAGGGTGCCTTTGGACTGCAGACAGGGAGCCTGTGCAGTGCCACTGCCACATGAACTGCAACCTAAACTGAGTTAGAGGCAAATCTCTTGTCCTCAGGACAAGGGTTATAGTGTAACTTGTACCTATATAGCTGAATTCCCTTAATTCCCCCAAACAGGAATTCTCTACTGCCTACCTGCATCAGTCTGGGTATAATGCCTGGGCCCTACCAGCACAGTCCTACCTGGCATTACCCAAAAATCTGCTGGGAAACATTCTAATGGTTTATCAGTACTGGCAGGTGCCTGAGTTGGTGTCCTCACACCACTCAGTACATTACAGAGAGGGGACCCCCAAGGTCCTGGCAGAGGAGGCTCCACACTGACTTGTGCTGTTGCCTGCACCTCTGTTGAGCTGTGGCATGGGCTCAAGGGCCTGACGTGGGGGACTGGGAAGAAAAGAGAGCTCTGCCTGCCCACAGCTCCTCAGAAATCACCCCATCCAAAAGTGCAACATTTAGTTGCCTTTAGTGTCATTTTTTGGGTGCTTTGCTATTGGGGAAAAAAGTCCAGTAGCATCACCTGTTGCTACCATAGCACTATTGCCCACTTTGAGTTTTACAGCTCTATACTCCCCATGTACAGCTCCCATGGAGCTTCTTCTGGTATGGATGCACAAAGTGAATAATGACAATGGCTTCAGTTTTCCTCCTTCTAAATTGTACAGGGAGGATTAGACAGCCACAGAGAATCACCAGTGATCTCCAGGATCAGCATCCTGATGTTCTTGAGACATATTCATGCAAACAGCTCGAACACCCTCTCAGAAGAGATGCTAAATAGATGCAATGCAGCTTCCACTGTGGTGGATATTTAAAAGGATGTGAGAAATGTTTCAACAGCAATCTCTCCATTAATGTGCTTTCTTTTTCTTCTTACAATTTAGGGACGTGGAATTTTTGCCAGTGGAAGTCCTTTTGGTCCCGTCACTCTTCCAAGTGGAAAAACTCTCTATCCTGGACAGGGTAACAATTCCTATGTGTTCCCAGGAGTTGCCCTTGGTGTTATTTCATGTGGAATGAGACATATTGAAGAGAGTGTATTCCTCACGACTGCTGAGGTACTGTATTCAATAGTAATTCCTTAATTTAGTGACTTAGTATTAATGAGCAATTAAACAGGAAGAGCTAAACTTTAAAACAGGAAAAATACTGCTTTCTGTGTAAGGCCTTTATTTGCAAGGTTTATGTTCTTTATAAATTGTATTTGAGCAAGTATTTTTAAATTTTTAAAACGTTGACACTTGGCTTGGGGTCACCTGACATAAACTTTACTTTCTGTTGGGAAGGAAAAGTAAAGAAAGATTTCAGTACTGTGTTACTGCAGGTAAATGCACAAATGTACAGCTTGCATGCACAGACACATAGGTTTAATTTTAGATTGAAAATAATTTTTATTATTATTGATGTTAGTAGCTTTGGGGTGACTCGTGTGTGTGTGTGTGTGTGTGTTTTGCTTACAAAAAGTGTTTGAATTTAAATTAGAAAGCCCTGGGCAATGCATGTTGGTCTGACCATGTCCATGCAAAGTAACTGAAAGCCTGATACTTTGGAGTTTTTTGAAGGGTGTGGAAATAAGGAAGAAGGCTACCCTCAGTTTACCACATTAACTCCAACTGACCCAGGCTCACTTCAGGGAAAATTTCTGCCCAGTCCAGTTCATACCAGTTACAATCCACAGCATTTCATCAAAGTGCAGTATCCTGCTCTTCTAAGAGGCTGTATAAGCACACTTGGGAATACATGCACCAAGGAGGCCTCCAAGGAATAAATTGGAACATGAGAATTATGAAACAATAAAAAAAAGAAGGAAAAAAAGCTTCACCAATTAGCAGATGTGTGAATGCATTATTCAGCTCCTGCAGCTTCTCTAAGGAATATTTCATTCCAGATTCTTGCTCCTTCTGTGCTATTCATGGTTTAAAGGGAACAAAGTGGTCCTTGACTATCACTCAAGGGCAGCTGATAGGGAGTGTGATCCTATGACAAGCAGTATGTCATACAAAGCTTTCTTAAGGGGTGGGCACTTGCATGCTGTCCTTGTTGGACTTTCAAAGGATTTTTAAGGTGCATGCTATGGCATCTTTAATGCTAACACCCTGCCCTCTTTAAGAAAGACATTTACAATATCTATCTTTAAAATTAGTAAAAAGCCCAGCCTGTTTCCACTGGCTTTAACCATCATAGAAGGGCAATGATCCATCTCTTAAGCCTTTGGATAATTATATCTTCCCTTTAAATTCTCCCCTGTAATTTCAGTTGGATATGGTGATCCTCACTTCCTTTCTAAACTGCTGTGTTAGATTTGCCTTACTTTATTGTAGAAGTTGCTTCATTTTGGTTTGTGTGAAATGGTTCCTATACAGTGAGAGCTGATGAGGACAAAAGGTGGCACATGTGTGGACTGAACTGTGTTTCATGTGACAGTCTATGAAGTTAGAAGAAAATCAGTTCTGAACAAAGAAATGTAATAGGAAAATAAAATAGTATCAGAAATTGTGAGGAAGTTTTTAAATTCCCACTTGAGGTAGAGGTTCTTTCCTGACTCTTTGGTACAGGTTTTGCTATACAGTTACCTTCCCCTAGTAAAATCTCTAGAAAAGTTTGACATATAAAAATGTGGTTTTTGCCTTGCACAGAAAGTTCTGTTGGTGGCAGGATCCCTGGGTAGCTGCTCCCAGCTCAGGGCTTTCACATCTGGTCTCCTTAGGTGTGAGAGGCTGTGGGGCTTGGATGTACTGAGCTGATGGGTGTCAGGAGTCTGCCAGAAGAGGTGTCAGGGATGTGAAGGCTGGCAGGGCTGTGTAGGCCCTTAGCTGAATAATTATACTGCAAAGCAAAAGTAAAAGGGCTTTTTCTCTTTTCTTGGCTTTTTTTTAATGGAAGGATAAAATTAGAATAGTTTCATCGTGGTTTTAGAATAATTCTTACTATTCCTCATTTGAAATGGAAGCATCCAAGATGCTGCAAAATTTAGAGAACCAAAACCATATATTTTGGGTAGAGGGACCGTCTTAGATTGCCAAGGTAGCTTACCTGAAAAAAAGAAATTATAAAAAGTAAGCAGCCGAAGCTGCATGCCTGCACCTCCTGCTTCTTGCTTTGCCACATCTCCAATTAAATGTGATTGAAGTCACAAATAAGTAGTTATTGTAACTAGAACAGATTTTGCTTTCAATGCTCTTTTCTTCCTGCCAAGTAAAATAGAGTGTAACTTTGGCTTTGGATGGTAAATCTAAGGTACTGTAAGCTGTAATACCTCTTGACTGCAGGCAGTTGTTCTGTGATGACAAGGGATGTAGCCTATTCTTTTAGGTCCTACCAAACACAACAAAAGAGACAGAGATTATGAACTAATGAAATAACCTTGCATGTGTGACCTGATGTTTAGTTCAGAAATAATCCTACAAAATCTTCTCATTATGGAGGGTATGTTCTCCAAAAATCAAGATGCCCTCACTTGCTTTATGCCATTTTTTTTTGTTGCTTTTCATTTAGGTTTCTGCAATAATGCTTTGCTAATTTTTCTATTAAAATTGTGAATTGATTGATATTTAAAACATTAAAATAGCCATGCTGGGTTGGACTTAGGGTCCAAGCAGCTTGGTATCTTCCTCTAAAAGCAATTGCTAACAGAAGCAGGGGAAAAGAGGATAAATAAGAGAAATACAGAGAGATCCTTCTGCTGAAATGGCTTCTCAGATTCTGGCAACATTTACTGTATGACCTTGCTGTGTTGGATGTTTTATCCCTGTATGGATTTTTCTTTCAAAAATTAGCTTAGTGGCTTTTAAAATATGTTTATACATTTTGAACATCTTTTGGCAATTAGTGTCACAATTTAATTATGAGTCCTGTGGAAAAAGAAACTCATAATTTTCTGCTGGTTTATTTCCCTACAGTGCCATAAGAAATGTTTGCCTTCAGTTTTCGTTTGCATTTCCTTTCAGTCTTCTCTTTTTCTCACAAGTCTATTTTACTATTTTTTGCCCCTTGATTAAAAAAAAAAAAATAGATCATCTATTTTATTCTCTATACTCTCTCATGATTCTACCCCATTCTTGTTTGAAATATGTGGAGGAAAACCACACCCTGCTCAAAGTGGTGTTACATTCTGGATTTATACATTGGCACAATTAATGTTTTCTATGACACCTCTTATTTTCTCAGTAATCCCAAATGTTGATTCATCATTTTTTCCGTGCCACTGATCTGATGTTCTCCAGGAGTGTTTTTCAAACACCACATGAAGAGGGTGTTGCTCTCTTCAGAAATGCTTGGGTTTGTGTTTTTGCATAGTTTTCAGTGCTGTTACAGGAGTGTGTCTAAAAGAGCAGCATAGCATCTCTACACTTGATCTTGCTACCTCTCCCACTTTGAACACCCAAATATTTTGTGGCTTGCCTTCTATCAAAAACAGAATCACAAAAGAGGAGTACTCCACTCCTGAACCCTTTAATTTTCAGTGATGCATTGCAGTAAGAGCAACTTGCTGTTGATTTCTTCAGTTTTCATCTTTCCTGCAGAGCCCTCTTAAGCTGTTAACATCAGGGACCCCATGTAAGTGCCTCCTTACATTCAGATGCACATCAAAGGGCTGTGTATCATTTTGAAATAACCTGGATGATGATATGGAGAGCAGTAACTGGATTTTACATTCTCTTAGCTCCCCCTAGAGGGTTTTTGGCTGCTGTGTTTCTCAAGATCAGGTTTAAATGTAAACAAATTACTTTTTCTTCACTTATTATACTCGAGCCTATTGCTCTTGTCAGCATTTTAACTCTGAATGGAAAAACTTAGGACAGCTACCAACATTCTAGTTAGACTGCACAAGAGAACATCGAGTTCTTTTGAACCTGGAGCTCCTTTAGTTCAAACTGTTTACCTATTTCTGCTGGAAGGGATGTACCCAGACACCTGTTCTGATGCAGTCCTAGATGTTTACAAGCATATGTACAGGGTCCTATTACCCACATGTGGCAGGAACTGTAGGAAGTTTGTGCTTTGTTTCAAGTATTTTCCTAAAATATTCCCTCAAAAATGCACTTCTTGCTTTCTCTTAGGGCTTTGTTATCAGTTGCAAGTCTCAGTGTTTCTTGGACTTTCCTGGTGTTTTCAGAACTTCTTGGTGGCTTCACCAGATGTTATTCAGAGCAGTTTTCCTTCTATCAACATCTGGATCACTCTGAAAGTGATCCCAAAGTCTCCAAAACACCAACAAATTGTAGCTAATGATAGCTGAAATACCAACTGCCAGTAATTTCATTCAGAGCATTTTACCCTTAAGGGTTTCAGTTCTGTTCCCTGCACGGGTTAATGTGACAACTGTCAGAATGACATGTGCTTCTTTATATTTTAGAACTCTTTGACCCAACTGCAATTTTTGACTGGAATTTATATCTCACAATCAACTATTTGCTAGTTTAGTGTGTGTCATGGACTTACTCAAGTAACTTATTGTCTGAGTGAGAAAAAGGCCTAACTCCCTACATTTCTAATCTTGTGTATCTTCTCCTAATCACAAAGGTGGTTCTGAAAAATGCTGTCTAGGTGGATTAAGCAGTATCTGTGTGATTTGCCAAAGCAGAAACATTTCTTTGCTAAAGACAGTATAACTGTCTAATCAAGCTACAGCTGCATCTGCATGTCAAGTTATTTGTGTTATTTCAGGTTATAGCACAGCAAGTTACAGAAGAGAATTTACAGGAAGGTCGCCTCTACCCTCCATTAGTCACCATTCAAGATGTGTCACTGAAAATTGCTGTGAGGGTAAGTCATTTCAGCCTTTTGTGACTCTTTGTCTTCCCACCAGCTCTATGTAGTTTCATTTCATCACCAAACACACCTTCACACAAGTTGGTTTACCTGTAGCAATTTCAAAATTAAATTTTAAATTCATAAATGAAAAGACAACCCAAATCCAAGGAGAGCTGTGGAACGACAGTAAGTGTGTATGTCTGTAGAGCACAGACTCTGCTGTCCACCACAGTCATGCCAGCTGCACAGCCGAAGGGCTTTTGGCTCTTCATGGTTATCAGTTTCAACTTGTTGCTTGTCTTCTGTAACCTTTTTCTACAATTACTGTTTTCTCACTTTGTCACCTGACTGTGAGTAATTCCACTTCATATGCTTTTGAAAGAATAAAAAGGAGCCCTCACACTTGAAACAGTTTCCATAGCTTCACTCATTCTGTATATTTAAGAAAAGAAAAGTCCTTCTCAAAGTTCATGTCTTCTTAGGCAAGTAGTAACTTTGTTCTGTAGATGGGAAAATGTTACTTAAATTCCTCAGGCGAAATCAAACTGGCTCTGTGTTTGGCAGAAACAGTGATAGAAGTTCCTCCTCTATTTGTGCATGTTAGAGAAAACACAAAAGAACGAAAATGTTACCAAATGATTCTTTCTGCCTGTTCTCTGTTGAAACTTTATTCCTGCAAATACTTATTCTGGCTCATACAACCCAACCCGAGAGGTTTAGCAATGGCCTCTGCCTTTTCCAGGAGAGGAACACTATCAAAATATTTTGGAATACCAAGCATTGGGTATGAATTCAGATCTTATTCAGCCATGATAATTATGTGCACAGACCTGAATATATCCCTACATAAACACCCAAAGTGCTTCTCATTCAAATTGAGCTGGGATTCAGATTAATCATAGAAAAGAAGTCTTAATAAGGGGGCTCGAGATATCAGCTTCTCACCAAACTAGAACATTTATGTTTTAAAGAGAGCTAAGGTAAACAGAAAGAAAAACATCTCCCTTTTATTCAAAGGAGGAGCATTGGAGTGTTTGCCAAATAGTTTCAAGCAGATCTTTTCACAGTGCTGCTGCATAAAATCTGTTTGCCAGACTTCCTTTGTTTCATAGATGAATGACCAGTTTGAAGATACTTGTTTCTCAAATAGGTGATCTTCAGATGTGAGAGGCTACTTTGATGTGTTGAGAGAGCTCCAAACCCTTCTAAATTTAATTTTTGTTGCAACTGTATTTGTGATGCATAATTGATTCACTTAGGTATGGTCTGGGTGAGGAAAGAGTGAGCAAATATTTGTATTTCCCCCAGCCATCCTGCACACTGTAGGACTATTTTTTCCCATGAGTTTACTATTTTTGAAGTATATTACCAAACTATGGCAAATACTAAACTTCTAATATGCAAAGAACATGGAAGCTTTGAACAAATCACGCTTTTCTTACAGTGCTTAGGGAAGATGGTAAACCAGGATAAAGTGATGAGAGAAAAGCAGGAATTGTATCTCAGTGCTTGGGGCTTGTGTAATATTTGATCCACCCCTGCACAGTAAAAGCTAAGACACGACTGTGCAAAGAGGAGCACTGTATCTGTAACAGTCTGAACATGCAATCCTGTTCAAAAGTTGCCCAAGTCGGACCCACTTAAACCCAATCCTGTTGCAGTCTTATTCACAGGGTACTAACCTGGATCCAGTGTGAACACAGGTGGCTGTCAGCACCAGTGAGGGTGAAGTCCAATCTTGGTTTTGAACTAAGTTCCACTTTTAAATGCTGTTGGGTGTACTCAGATAGTTCATCAGCAATAATTAGGATTTTAATGCATCTTTCCAGATCGCAGAAGAAGCCTACAGGAATAACACTGCCTCCACCTATCCTCAGCCCAAGGACCTTGAAGCCTTCATCCGCTCTCAGGTGTACAGTACTGATTACAACAGCTTTGTGGCTGACTCCTACACCTGGCCTGAAGAGGCCATGAAAGTGAAACTGTAAATATTTAATGAAGAATGAACAAATCAGCTGCAGTTAAAAAGCATTAAAATATTAAGGTTGTTTCTGCCTAGGAAGCCTAAGAATAGCTAATTTTTTAAGATGCAGAAAACTTTTTCTAATTCGTGGTAGTTGGTTAGAAACTCTCATCAAGAAATCGTCAATTATACATCAGAAAATAAAAATTAATCTGAGAAATATATTTGCGTTTGGTTATTTTGATTGTTATTTTAACTGAGATCTCCTACACTACAGTTTGATGGATCTTTTTGAAAAAAAATGGTTGTATCTTGACTCAAGAGTTTTGTCACAAACATCAATGGGATGATAAGCAGATAAATGGGCACTTAAAAATACATTTTATATTTTATCCATTACAATCACAGTGCAATTTACATAATTTGTGAACCTACTATTGAAAAAAAACCCCAAACTTTAAACAATCATAAGGTTAGAATATTTTATTCCAGAGAAAATCCTTACTGGTCACTCTTGTGTGGAATTACGAAATGAAAATTTTCTAAAAGAATCAGATCTGCAGAACCTTTTGTTCACATCTAATTAGAGCATTTTAACATTACTAAAAATAACATTTAACAATACTAACATTTAACATTAGCTAAGGTAATGTCCTGTATAAGATCAAGGATTTCACTCCCCCCACCAGATAACCACTGTTCTGATCCATTGCAAATGTTTGGCCTAATTTCTTGAACTCCATGTTCTTGACAAAAAGGGAGTATCAAAATGCCAGGAATAGACTTGGAGGAATTATTAGTTGTTAAACAATTACCACTCCAAGAAAAATGTAATATATTTTCTGGATGGCTCTGGAAACAAAGGTTACTTATTTTTTCTACTATCTGTTTTTGTCTAATCTTTACCAGAGAGATTATCTCAAGAAAACCAAATATTAATTTTATTTGTCTAGCCCCGCAGCTCTGTCACAGCTGCAGATTACAGGTCCCAAATTCAGAAAGAGAGGTACTTTCTCCCTCACTGCCTAATGAGAATGTGTCAACATTTTTGCCTCACTGGGCTTTTGCCACACAAACAGTACACTTACCACAGTGAAGGAAAAGACATCAATCATATTCTGAGCAACTACAAACACTCTGCATTTCAATGCCATCCTCTGCATTTCAATATATTGCTATTGTGAGAAAGGTATTAAGACACTTCCCTGTACTTCATTTGAAATAAAATGTTATTTATGTTGTCATCAGCTGAGTGTGCTGAAACACAGTCTTTGCACAGCAGCTGTTGAGTGCCTGGGTGTTGGAATCCATCAGCCAGACCTCTGCAGCTCAGCAGTGAGTCTGCTTTTATTGCTTGGTACCCATTTTCATATTAAGGCACTCAGGCACAGAGTGGGAGGTGGTGGGCTGGGGGTCCTGAAGGCACAGCTGCTGGGGACTTTTCAGCAGTGTTCTTCAACTACATATTATACTGCTGATCTTTAAATACGATCCTGCATTACAAACTGGAACACTCACTATCCACATCCACACTCAGCACAGTTCCCTGCAGGAAAATGTTGCCCCGTGAACCATTAACAGCACTGCCTCTTACAAGCTGCTGGAAAATTCTCCCCATACTAATTTGACATAGAGAGGATTCTTCAAGTTATTTGTATTTTTATGCAATATTAAATATATATATATATATAGGGATTTTTTCCTATTTTCTGTATTTTACGTGTATTTCCTTATGTAATGTAGGGGGGAAACTTAAAGTTTTTCTTATCAGACCCATTTTCATTTCCAAGGTGTTTGGCCTAACAGCCACATAAAACACATAAAATACCATGAACTGAACAGATGAAAAATTGTTATTTTATTTTATTTTATTAACATAACCAGAGAGACACTTTGCTGCATGACATCCTTGTCTCTAAATTGAAGAGAGGTGGATTTGATTATAACATGGATTTTTATAACCATCCACCCACTCGGTGGGTTGCAGAGTTGCAGTCAATGGCTCGATGTCCAAGTGGAGAGACCAGTGAGAGTGACATTCCCCAGGGGTTGGTATTAACACCTTTGTCAGTGACATGGACAGTGGCACTGAGCACACCCTCAGCAGGTTTGCTGATGACACCAAGCTACCAAGAGCTGTCAACACACTGCAGGGCAGGGATGTTATCCAGAGGGACCTGGAGAGGTGGGTCTGTGCAAGCCTCATGGTGTTCAAGGCCAAGTGCAAGGTCCTGCCCTGGGTCAGGGCAATCCCAAGCACAAACACAGACTGGGTGGAGAATGGGTTGAGAGCAGCCCTGAGGTACAGGTGGACAAGAAGCTCAACATGAGCCAGTGATGTGCACTTGAAGCCAAGAAAGCCAGCTGTATCCTAGGCTGCATCAAAAGCAGCATGAGCAGCAGGCTGAGGGAGGTGATTCTCACCCTCTACTCCACTTCTGTGAGACCTCAAATGGACCATTGCATCCAGCTCTGGGATACGAACGTAAAAGGAACATGGACCTGCTGGAGGAACTCCAGGGGAAGGCCACAAAAACTCATCAGAAGGCTGGAGCATCTCTCCTGTGACAACTGGCTGAGAGAATTGGGATTGTTCAGCCTGGAGAAGAAAAGGCTTTGGCAAGACCTTATAGCACTTTCCAGTACCTGAAGGGAGCCTACAAGAAGGCTGGAAAGGGACTTTTTACAAGCACGTGTAGTGACAGGACATGGGGGAAATGCTTTAAACTGAAAGAGAGTAGGTTTAGATGAGATGGGAAGAAATTCACACAGCACAGCACAGATGAGGAGACAGGAGTGTGTAATTCTTAACACACTGTGGAATGTTTATCACCTTGCAAGTGCTTTGAGGCATGGCTCACAGAGACAAATGCCAGTTTTAGAGTCTCAGAAAATCAGTGACACATTTCAAAAATACATGGCAGTTCAGCACAAAAGCTGGGATTAACTACCTGAACCGTTCACCTCAGATATTAAAGTTTCCCTTTTCACAGTAGCTGTAGGGCAAAGGTGTTAGCAACACTTCTTGCTCTCCAGAATTAGAAACTGTTTATAAACAGTTTGTCTCAATTGTCTGAAAGTTTGCCTTCAACACCAAATAAAATCTGAAAAACGTGTTCACTTTGATGCTGTTTCAGGAATTCTAGAAACTGGCCAAGATCCATGTGATAGTCATTCCTCAGGCCATAATCACCATGTGCCTGAAACTGCAGGTCTTCAAAACTGTGAAAGAGACGAAGATTATCAATGCTTCCTTCTGTCTCTATATTCTCCACATGCTTGCATGAAATATGCTTCCAGTTGGGATATCTAATAACATGCCAGAACTCTTCACAGTTTTCTTGGAGTCCCTCCACACAGATGACACCAGGTTTCCCAGTTAGGCAGAAGCCAGTCAGATTTAACTTCTTTGCACAGTCAAAAATCTTTTTCCTCAGTTCCTGCCTGTATATGTGATGGCTGTAGATCCACATTCGATGCAGCATTTCCTTAACCCTGACTTCTTTAGAAGCACACTCAGACGAGCCCTTACTGTTTTCCAGGAGAGTCAGGCTGTTGTCCTTCACCCACTGCACAGCCTCACACACACACAGATCTCCTGAATCCAGAGAGCTGATGTGAGATGCCAGACGAGTATTGAGCTGCAGCTGTTGCTGTCTGTGCAGGGCATCTGATCTAGCAAAGAGCTGAGGAGCCACCTGAGGGTACATATGAGGAAGGAGCACCTGCAATTCCACCTTTACCTTAAAAACAGAAGACACAAACACACAGAGAAAATTAATTCTGCAGCTACTGAAGACACACTAGATTCTTCTTCCCTGGCAGAGGCAGATCATGAGGAGATGTAATTAAGATTGCAGCATCCTACTAACTGGAATTATTTCCCACTTCCCTTTTGTCCCAATAACCCACTCTTTAGTCTGTTCCTTTTCTTCTGTTGCATCATGCTGTCACTTTCTCAATGCTTCCCATGATATCCAGGCAGCTTTTGTGCTGTGCACAGTACTAATGCTATGGCCTGGGAGAAGCTACACAGTTACCCTCGAGGGATATTTCTGCCACAGTGTTGCTACAGCAGTGAACTGCTGGGGTCAAGAGCTTTTGAGAATCTCATCCCTTACCAAATGCACATGACTAATGAACTCAGCCCAGATGCCAGAAAAAAGGCAAAAAATTACATTAAATGGTCGTTTTGATTGTACCTACTGTATATAGAGACACGTGGCAGGAGTGTTGGAAATGCTGCTCTTTAAGGCTGCTCCAAATCCAAACCATTCTATGCTTCTGTGCATTACCATTATGTTAAGCAAGTATTCACCATAAAGAGGAATCAGGATTACAGGGGATTAAAAGATTTATGCACGTTTCAGGTCAGGGAGACCTCTGGATTATCTTATCTGATCTCTTATGAACATTGGGCTGTTGAATTTTTTTGATTACTCCTACAGTGCCTTCAAACAGAGCACCACAGTTCTTTGGCAGCTGAACCCTGCCTCTAGTCCAAGACTAGGAAAGGATTTATGTGTCCTCAGTGCTTCAAGCTCCTGTAGACTGTTAGGGGGTACTCACTACAGTGTACAGTCATATGATTAGTCCTGCAGAGAGAAGTGAATCATGAAATGACTAATTATTTTCCCAAGTTCCTTGACAATCTGCTGTGGAAAAAAACCACTGCTCCTACACAAGCCCTCCCTACATGGTTTGTAAAACTTCTCTCTGAAGGTTGGTGAAAGGGTGCATTTTAGAAAGATACCTAAGCTTGTAACTAAAGTTTCAAAAAAATCACGAGGCCATCTCATTACCCAGTGAACTGTTCTAATGTTTGATTACCTAAGTTCCATGGAAAATGGCTTTTAGGCTGCGTTTGTCTGTTCTCAATTTCTGGTCACTGCATTAGTATCCACTCAGACCTGTGCTCTCTGTGCAAGTATTTATAACAATTAGTTCAATCCCTTTCTTCAATCAGTTACACTGTTGTAACTCCTTATACTGCAAGTTTGGTTTCTCTGCTCATAGGCTGGTTTTGTTTTTGTGTTCTTGTGACTCCTTGTAATTGCATTCTGCCAATGGAGCTATTTTTACACTACTGTATTTCTAATACATATGTTAGCACCAGCCGAGATCTTCTATTACTCTTAACTATTCAAACAGCAAACAAAAATGTAGTGGCTTTTTAATGCTCTTTTTTTGGGGGGATGACTTTTCAAGTCTGTGCAGGAGTAGAGACACCACCACCCATGAACAAACCTCCCTGCAGCTCTCACCTTCGCCTCCCCTACATCGAGAGCAATGCGATATTCCAGCTGAGGGGGCAGCGCTCCACCAGCATTCCTCAGGTAGCGCTGGATGCTGGGCACGGCATCCGCATCCAGACTGAATTCCCCTCTTTTGGGAAACATCGAAAGGAGCATTTCCACTTCCAGCAGCTGGAGCTCCAGGCATTCTTTCACCGTGACAGCCATTGCGCTGCCCTCCGCACACGCCTGGAACGAGAGGGCTGGAGTCAAACCCCGGGGTTCAGCACATGGAGAGGTTCAGCATCACAAGAAGTCCCGCGGTTCTTTAAGGGCAGAATTTGGTTAAACACGGCTGGACACAGAGCGCTCAGCTCCGGGCAGGGGTGGTCAGGCGGAGCCTTGCGGGGAGTGAAGTCCCGCGTTGATGTGCGCGGGCAGTGATGCATTATTTATGTTATTTATCTGCAGACACACCCGGTGCTGTCTGGGTGTCGTGGTTCAACCCCAGCCCGCAGCCAAGCCCCACTCAGCCACTCTCATTCCCCCACCAGCAGCATCAGGGAGAGAATAAGAGAGGCAAAGGTATAGAACTCACGAGTTGAGATAAAGGCAGTTCCATACGGAAAGCAGAAGCCGTGCACACAAGCAAAGCAAGGAATTAATTCCCTGCTTCCCAAGGGCAGGCAGGTGTTCATCCATCCCCAGGAAAGCAGGGCCCCACCACACCTAGCTGTGATTTGGGAAAGACAAACACCAAATGTCCTCCCATTCCTCCTTCTTCCCCTGCCTTATACACTGAGCACGATGTTCCATGGTCTGGAATGTCCCTTGGGTCAGTCTGGGCCACCTGTCCCGGCTGTGTCTCTTCCCAAGCTCTCCCCAGCCTCCCCACCAGCCTGGCAGTACAAAAATCAGGAAAGGCCTTGGCTTCTCTGTAAGCCCTGCTCAGCAATAACAAAAATCTATATTATCAACCCTGTGTTCAGCATAAATCCAAAACACAGCCCAGTACCGGCCACTGTGAAGGAAATTAACCCCGCCCAGCGCACTGCGGGGGGAACTCTGTAATCCGAACGTGATGTCAGTGTAGCTGTGCGAGGCTGGGTGTCCCGGCTGGCCCGGCCCTGCCCAGCCCGGCCGCTCCGGCCGCCATTCCCGAACGTCCCGCCGGACGCCCCCGGGGTGGGCGGGGCTGCGCCTGCGCGGCAGCGGCTCCTGGCGGGGGCGTGGCCCGGGCGCCACGCGGCAGGCGCTGCCCCGCCCACCCACCACCCATTGGTGGGTCCCTCCTCGGGTGGGCGGGGCCGCGCCGGCTCCGTGCGGGGCGCGCGGTGGCAGCTCCGGTGGGAGCGCGTCCCACCCATCGCATCCCACCCGTCCCATCCCATTCCATCTGTCCCGTCCCGCCCCGCCCCAGCCGGTGCGTCCGAGCGCCATCGCCGGGGGGTCCCGAGGGAAGCAGCCGTGCAGGGGGGCGCGTGTGCGGCTGGCCCCACCCGCCCGGCCTGGTGTCCGTCTGCCGGTCCGTACGGAGCCGCCGCCCGGGGCAACATCCCGGGGACACCGCTGGGGGCTTCCCTGCGAGCTCTCGGGGAGGTGGGACACGCTGCTGTTGGGCTCGGAAATCAGTGTGTGGAACCGCGGCCGAGCCCTCTGGGCGGCTGGTGTCACGGTGAGAAACGGGAGGCTCCGCTGCGGGAACACGTTAGGATCCCTGGATCCACCCACTGGGAATCGTGGCTCTCCTCGCCTCGTCCCTGCGTGATCTGCTTATATCCGCTCACGCTCTGTTTATCCGGTGCTCTCCACGGAGTGCAGAGACTCCTTCCCCGGTGCTGGTCCCGCCAAGGGGTTGATGGCAGCGCTGTAAAGCACCCGCAGCCTTCAGAACGCGAAACTGCTCTCCGCGGCTCCTCTCACTTCCCTCTGTGTCGCTCCCTTCCCTAGAAATGGATTTCGAAGCCCTCAAGAAGTACTCGGCGCTGCACCCCAAGCCTGCCGGGCTGGCCCTGCAGTATGGCACCGCTGGGTTCCGCTCCAAGGCCGAGCAGCTGGATCACATCGTGTTCCGCATGGGCCTCCTGGCCGTCCTCAGGTCCAAAGCCGTGACAGCGACCATCGGCATCATGGTTACAGCGTCTCACAACCCTGAGGTAAGAGCTGCCCTTTCCTTAAACATGTGACCGGTTCGGTGGAATGACGGGAGGTGTTTTGGTAGAAGGGTGGAAAGATGTGATCGGTTTGTTGGAATCAAAGCTCATGACAGCACTGAGAGACCAGATCCTGAAGACACTTGGACCTGCTTAAAGCATTCAGCCTGCTGCCTGGAAATCCGATCTCTGATCTATCTGAAATTATTTTTCCCCTGTACACAGAAGTGGGATCTTTGTCTCATAGGAAATATTTCATGTTGCAATGTAACTTTCTAATGTTGGGAAGCTAGGAGTAACCTTGAGAAGAACCTTTGAGTAAAATCTGTAAGTTTTAAAAATAAACATGCAAATGCAGCCATTACAAATCAGGCATTTAGACTTTTGCTGCTGTGGAGCATTGAAGGTTATTAGAATATCCCCTTATGTAATTTTAATGTCAAATGAATTTCATACCAAAATTATAAGGGAGAAAGGCTTGGTTACTCAATATGCATGTTCTTTGGGGGCTTGTTGGAGGTTTAAACAAACAGCTAACCTATTGCACCCCAGAAGTTCTCCACTTTTAAAGAAGCAATGTGACTGAACCATATGTTGTCTGTCTTCAAAGAGGTTTTATTCGTTCCCCACTTCTAAACTTAATATTTTTTGTTCTTTTGTTTTTCTACTAAGGAAGATAATGGTGTAAAGCTGGTTGATCCTCTTGGAGAAATGCTGCACCCTTCCTGGGAAGAATATGCCACACAACTAGCAAATGCAGAGGAGCAAGAATTACAGAAAGTGATAACTGAGATCTGCCAAAAAGCAGCAGTGAACTTGCACAAAGATGCCTCGGTTTTTATTGGTAGAGACACTAGGTAATGACAAAAGGCTGTAGATATCTCCTGCCCTTATGGAAGTACCAGTGCTGTCTTCAGGGGAATTGTGTAGGTACTGTGTGATATCCACCTGAGTCCAGCACTTGACATGTATTTGCAGTCCCTGGGAGTGTTGGCTTTCAAACTGTATTGGGAATTGCCTACAAAAGAGAAAGGTTTGGATTTCTTCACAATGAGTCTAAATCTTGTGGCAGGAAGCTTGTAGAGTCTTCCACATGTGTTTCCTTCCCAAGTCCATAGATAAATGCCTTTGTTGTTTTCCAGGCCAAGCAGCGAGAAGCTGTCCCAATCAGTTATAGATGGTATTCAGGTTCTAGGTGGCCAGTACCATGGTAGGTTACACTTCTGCAATTCTAATCTCATTTCAAGTTTTTTTTTAATGTAAATGTGACTCCTTTATGCAGCCCTAACGCAACAGCCCAGACACATTTCCATTCTGTAACAATCTTATTTCAGGGTGGTTGTATGGTTTTAATGCAAGGCAGGGCAGGGGAGGGTTATGTTTTCATAAGACAACTTGAAAAATTTCATATGTGTTTCCAGTGCTGCATTTGTCTGTTTACTGTACAACTTTTAAGCAACAATTAATTTGCAATTCTATTCTGAATATTGTTCCTTTTATTTCACACTAGATTATGGTCTGGTGACAACACCACAGCTCCATTACATGGTTTGCTGTCAAAACACCCAAGGGCAGTATGGGAAAGCAACATTGGAAGGTTATTATGAAAAACTGTCCAAAGCTTTTACGGAACTGATAAAACAGGTGAATAGTAGGTGTTGTCTTCTTCATGCAGATGTACAAAATTAATCTTTTCTGTTTGTTAGCCTGTTTGGGCCTGAAGTTTCTAATTCAGCATGCTCTAGGTGTTGTTTCTCTAGAGTAACACTTCACTTTGCCCCTTCTTCCCTTGCACTAAGTCTCACTGCTGTGGAGAGAGTCAGAGGCACCTGAAGATTGACTGTGCCAATGGAATAGGAGCCCTGAAACTATCAGAAATGAAGCCATACTTTCCACAAGAGGTGGCAATTCACATATATAATGATGGAACCAAGGAGAAACTCAATCACTTATGTGGTGCAGATTTTGTGAAAGTTCACCAGAAACCACCTGGAGGTATGTAGTCAGTAATTTTATGTTGCTTTACCTCCTCTGCAGGGTCTGGCAAAGGTCCACATCCTTGGGTAAGTGGAGCTCCCTGTTTCTTACTAAGTGACTGCATGAATGGTTCTCCTTGTGCAATGCAAAGAGGGAACAGCATGGCCAGGTTTGGCACATCTCTGTGTTAGTCTGAACTGCTTGGAGGAGCACAGTATCTCTCTGACTGGCTGAAATATGTTTGACAGTCTCTTCTGAATGTTAAGCTGTCAGAGTCCAAAGATCAGCCAGGACTAGCTTAGTGTTATTTATTTTACTCCCCTTTGTATTATGAAGAAAGACTTTTCCGGGTTCCTGCTGAAGTGCTGGGTTAATTAACAGCTTGGTGCCAGCAGGCTGACTCATTGACATAAACCAGTGAGGAAATGATTTCAATCAATTTTCTGAGAATTGTATAAAAGAAAACCCCTGAACTGGGAGAGCAGGCTGGTTTGGAAATGAGATTATTGGAGGCTAAACTGAGTTCTCCATTGGACAGCTGCCCTCTCAATGCAACTGCTGGCCATATCTGAACACCAGAATATGGTGTTGCTTCCCCTTCCCACGCTGGTTGTGTCCTGGAGAAATGCAGTGCTGGGAGCAGCACAGTGGCAGGATCTGGTGGAGATGGATACTTGTGCCTCATTACTGTGCCTGAGTAGTTATTTGTATGCATACCTGTGCTCTGAAAAGAAAATGTGTTTTCCTAATCACTCACTGAAATAAATGACCTGATTTTGTTTCTTTTCCTGTTTTTAACTTGTATTTGTAACTCTGTGCACTAGGGCTGGACATGAAGCCCAATGAGAGATGCTGCTCATTTGATGGTGATGCAGATAGAATTGTTTATTATTATAAGGACACAGCTGGCCATTTTCACCTGATTGATGGAGATAAAATAGCAACTTTAATTAGTATCTTCCTAAAAGAACTTCTTGCCAAGGTAACTCATATGAAATGAATGCTGGCATTTTAATTTGTAAAGTATAAAATAATCGAAGGAGGCCATGTTGCTTGGTATGTGGTCTCTGTACATCTACCTAAAGTGAACCAGTTTTAAAAAGAGATCAGTCCTGTACCTCACTGCTGTGGCCAAAAAGGGGTTTGGAAAGTCTAAGCTTGAAGAGCTGCTTCAGCCAGACCCGAGAAAAATCAATATGGGATGTATAAAGACTTGCACAGAATTCATGTTGTTTTAAACATACACAAGTTCTCAGTGAGCTGGTGCCTCCCTCTAGTACCCAGGAGTTTTAATTGTACATATAACAGTTCTGATTATCTTTCTATTTATCATTTTTGTTTGGCTATGTGCCTGTTGGACAGTAAAACTTGTTTTATTGGTTTGCTCAGGTGAAACAGGACTTCAAGCTGGCAGTGGTCCAAACAGCATATGCCAATGGGAATTCAACACGCTACCTCCAGGAAACACTGAAGGTATTCTCCATGTTTTTTCTAGGTAGTTTGCATTTTTTTATTTTAAAAGTAAATGCTACTGTATATATGATTGATAGGAAAATTAAAATCAAGAAAAAATAAATTACTCTTTCAAACCTCCAGTAAAGACTAAATTCATGGTGGCAAAGGAGACGCAAGAGAGCAGGCTTAAGAAGTTCTAGTCAGCTTTTATTAATTTAAAAAATATTTAATGAACTCCCTTGGCATTTAAACACACTGAGAAGTTACATCTTTGCAACAAAGTGAGTCAGTAAAGGCTCCTTGATACTTTGACACAAATTGTTTCATTTTCTGCAGCAAGCTAAATATTCAGGAATTGAGAGAAGGTATTGTGGTTGTTGGTATGTGAATCTAGTGTGTTCCCTGAAGCTATAAATTGGATTTTTCTAGGTTTGGAGTTTATTTCTGTATTTGCCTTTATTTACACAGGAATAAATGAAATATTTTTTAATTGCAGACAGAAATAGTG